CCGCAGTTCCTACAACGATAGAAGCCAGGACCCTCGATCCCGTCTTCGAAGAGCCGCGGCAAATTACGTTCGACTGGTTTTCGCGACGCGGACAGATACGTCGCACGCGAGCCGCGAGTTCCTAATCAAATTATCCCTCGATCCAAAAGAGGGTCTGGGTCGCGATCCTCGTGCCAGAAGCGCTCGGCTCTATCCGACCGCGAGGAAATTAACGACCTCGAGGTTCGAGACGCGTTCTTAGCACCTGCGAGGCTGCGCGGAATCGCGTCTGCCACCGGTATCGTGGTTGACCTTCCGAGTCGCGGCGCTGGCGCCGTAACGGTACCGTTTCATCCCCAAAAATCCCGGATTACAGGCATTCCGACGAGCGCGGAGACTCCGGGCACCTCTCTTCTCTTCTCGCCTTGTTGCGCACGAGGAGAGAGAGAGAGAGAGAGAGAGAGAGAGAGAGAGAGAGAGAGAGAGAGAGACTGACAAGGCCGTATCGGCTCCGAAAATCCTAAACGGGCCCCGGAGGAGATTCGTCGGACCGGTGTCTCGCGAAATTAACGATCCCGCCGCGGTTGCACCTGGCGGGCAACGCGTCGCGACGCGACGGTCGCCGACCGGTGGCGTGCACACGGTCCCATCTAATTCCAGGATCGGTATTCCGCTTGGCCTTAGAAGGCTGTGGCCACTCGGCAACGGCGCAACGATGCNCGGACGTCCGAGTACGAAGTTGTTGGAAAACGATGGAGTCCGGCACCCGTTGGACCAATCCCTGTTCCAGATTCATCGTAGCCACTCGAACGGTAGAACAAGCTTCGGAGCTGCTCGGTATATTAATGTACCACCGTGACGAGGGTAGATCTAATCGATCGGCCGCTCGGGTATCAACTTCCCGCAGGATTAATCTACGCGGTGAGTCTTCCGCGGCGGTGTTCAGTCATCATCCAGAAGTTCCAATTAGCGTGGATCGGAGCGACGTCTCCGGCTCCGTGTTGTTGCACGGTGCGGACGACGCGACGCGGTGTATTCGCGAACAACTAGACACACCGAGAATCATCTGGGAGGGTTCGTCGCAGTGGTCTCTCAGTCGTCATCGAGAAGTTCCAATCAGCGGGTATCGGCACGATCTGTTTGCTCGTTCTCGTCGTTCGGTCCCTCTCTCTCTTTCTCTCTCTCTCTCTCTCTCGGTCCGATTATCCTCTTTTATTCCCGTTGGCTGCGTCGATGGCTAACCATCGGGGGCCCCTTCTCATCGTCCGATATTAATACCGATACGGGATTTGCATTCAGGCCTCGGTCTCGGCGGCATCGGCAGGAGCAGCATCAACGGCGCGCGCACGCGCATCGGCGTGTACGCTTAATCCGCCGACTGTTCGGTTACGCTCGCGTCCGGTGTCAACTCGCTGCGCGGAGAGAAGCGGGGCCGAGACGACGACCGCGGGCACCAGGAAGCTGCGTGGGGCAGGGGAGGGCACCGAGGGGGCCACGGTTTATCCGACGAGGAAGTCGGCCAACCCGAGACCCGAGAGAGATCCGAGACCCGACAGACCTTGGGGATACCGCGGGGTGGCGGTGGCTGGCAGATTCTTCTCGCTGAAACGCTCGATGAATTATTGAGTGGATGAGATCGGGCATTTTTCATGGGGGCGGAGTCTGCTTCGGGGGCGGGATCCTTCGGAGGCTTGGCCTTGGGGGATAAATTCGCTTCGCAGGGCTCGGGCCTCGCGCGCAGAGACGCTGCCGATGGAGGGTGATAGCCGAGGGTGGAATTATTTCGTTGCCGCATGCAGAAGTATGTGCGCGCGCGACACAATTTTTCGATGGAACTTCGAGATCGATCGCTGTTAAGATCGACCAAGTCGATCCAGCTGCGTCGGAGCCTCGCGAGATGCGAGAAGTTTGCAGAGATAATTGCTGCGATCGATCTTGTCTATTCGTACGCTGATACGCGTTTATTTAACGTTTCAACGGTTCGCGGACAGCACGGTTTAGCGTCCGCAGTTCCTACAACGATAGAAGCCAGGACCCTCGATCCCGTCTTCGAAGAGCCGCGGCAAATTACGTTCGACTGGTTTTCGCGACGCGGACAGATACGTCGCACGCGAGCCGCGAGTTCCTAATCAAATTATCCCTCGATCCAAAAGAGGGTCTGGGTCGCGATCCTCGTGCCAGAAGCGCTCGGCTCTATCCGACCGCGAGGAAATTAACGACCTCGAGGTTCGAGACGCGTTCTTAGCACCTGCGAGGCTGCGCGGAATCGCGTCTGCCACCGGTATCGTGGTTGACCTTCCGAGTCGCGGCGCTGGCGCCGTAACGGTACCGTTTCATCCCCAAAAATCCCGGATTACAGGCATTCCGACGAGCGCGGAGACTCCGGGCACCTCTCTTCTCTTCTCGCCTTGTTGCGCACGAGGAGAGAGAGAGAGAGAGAGAGAGAGAGAGAGAGAGAGAGAGAGAGAGAGAGAGAGAGAGAGGCTGACAAGGCCGTATCGGCTCCGAAAATCCTAAACGGGCCCCGGAGGAGATTCGTCGGACCGGTGTCTCGCGAAATTAACGATCCCGCCGCGGTTGCACCTGGCGGGCAACGCGTCGCGACGCGACGGTCGCCGACCGGTGGCGTGCACACGGTCCCATCTAATTCCAGGATCGGTATTCCGCTTGGCCTTAGAAGGCTGTGGCCACTCGGCAACGGCGCAACGATGCCCCGTTCTCGACCCTTATACCGGGCTATCTCCATCGCGAACTTCTCGTCCACGCGAGTCGACGCGAATGAAAATGCGTCGGTGTAGGTGCCGGTGTCGGTGTCGGTATCCGCGGATCGAGCACGTGGTCTCAAAGGACGCGCAGATCTTGCGGGGGCGTGGCTCGCTCGCCACTGGGAACGCGCGCGCTGCTCTTCTCGCGTACCTTCGCGTGGACATTCGACGTCATCTTATAGAGAGAACATTGTTTTCTACGTGTCGAGGAGAGAATAATCCGATCGGAATCTGTACCCGGGTTGAATCGCATCTCGAGGAAGAAAAATGTAGCGGCGTCCATTCAATTTTGATCAAAGGTTTTTGTCTTCGAAGATATCCCAAACGATTCTCCGAAGCCTCGAAATTCCAGCTACGGCGTATTTCTCGCGTACGTCCTGCTATAGCCGCGCGCAATTAAAAGCGATCGAACAGCTGTGCCAATACGTTCGCCCTTGAAAGCTCGACGAAGTACGACTCGTCGCAGCTTGTCGTCGCGTCGGGGTCGGTCGGCGTCGGCAGGATTCCGTCGAAGCGATAGCGGCCCGCCGATCGATGCAGCCTCGCGGATCGCGTTCCATTGAACCGTGAAAGCCAGCTTCCGTGTTCCGGTTAACCGTTAACCACGAGGACCGCGTGCACCGAACGGGGACGAAAGCGAGGGGAAGAGAGGGGACGACGGCAACGTTCCCCATTAAACATAGGCCCTCGTAGTAGTCGTTTGGTCCGGTCTAGTTTAAAGCCGTCGCTCGTCGTCGATGTTTGCCTCGCCTCGCCTCGCCTCGCCGCGCCGCGCCGGTCTCGCGTGAGTCTGATTGCGGGTTGAACAGGTTGAACGGTTGGGTAATGGAGGCGCCCACATCTCTCCGTTAGCGGTACCCAGCTTCTGTTATCTACGCCGGATGCCGCTTTAAAGGCGACGGATCGACCAACCTCGATTCCATCGGCGATCCTCTCTTTCGAACGGCGTACACCGTACGCTATTGTCTTCTCGGAAAACAAGCCGGTACAGCGCGGTCCAAAAGTTTCCCTGGAAACCTCAGAAAATTTCTACCCGTTGCCCGTATGGCCTGACTTTCTACAAAAAAGATCATTATGTTCACGGACGATCGATACCTTGTTCGATCACGAATTAATTTCTTCTCGCGGTCGTTTCAAATTCTGACGAAACGGTTTCGAAAACTATGTCAAGACCGTTTGCACCGCGGAGAATCGAAAAGACGAACGAACCGAACCCGAGGATAGGAAACGACGAAGAGACCCTCGCGGCGTGGCTGAAATTCGTTTCGAAAATTCCTGCGGGAGAGCCGTGTAATTATCTGGGAAATAGTGGAGAACCCTAGGCGGGCCGGGTATCTCCGGTCCGGGTGTTGGCGCCCGAGTCGCCGGCGGATTTATTGTCCGCTCCTGGAACGCGAACGCTCGGATTCAGGCGTCGTTCCTCGGCCGTGAGATCGACGCGTCGCGTCGCGCTGCAACGCGTTGCGATGCGTTGCGCGTCGCTCGATCGGGGTACGCGAGCTCGTTCGTCCTTCAACCTCCCGACGAGTTCATCGATAAATTCCTGCTCTAACGTTCCCTCCGCGGGCCAACGAAAAAGATCCTCCGGGTCTAAAATAGCCAAGGGTCCTCTCTCTTTTTATTTTCGGCCACGAGGCCCGACCGAGGGAACCTGTCGTGAAAACGGCCCGGCCCGGCTCGGTATCTTTACTGGCCGGGACAGTCCGGGTGGAAAGGACCTAAGACTGTGGATTCCGCGGCCACCGTCGACCGGCTTTTGTCGAATTTTCTGCTGGCCGACCGGAGCGGTGCACCTACTGGTCGACCTCCTCGTCGCCCTCTTCTTCTTCTTCTTCGTCCTTTTCCCGCAGACATCCTGCTGTCGCGTTGCTCCCGCCCGTCCGTTCGTCCCTTCCCTCCTCCCCACCCCCGCGCACCTTCCCATACCTTTCCTTCCTGCCTTTCTTCCTTTGCCCCTCGCGTCGGTTGGCTCATTTGCGGCTGCGACGAGGAACACCGATCAGAATCCACCGCGCCGAGCCGCGCCGTTGGGACGAGGTGTTAGGCGACCGCAATCATCGTAATGATAGCGCCGTTCCCTGCGTTCGCGATCGCGCTCGCTGCACGCCATTTTGACGGAGCGACCTCTTCGTTTGCTTGCACCGGGACCCGACGATTCCGTTATCCGTTAGGCCGATCCCGGTGGCGGTTCTTACGAAAACAGGAATTTATTTCTCTCTCGAATGGATTCAGGACGATAAATCGTAGGTAGCACCGTCTGGAAGAACTCGTTTATTTTTGTCTATTTCGTCGCAACGTTCTTTCGTCGTATCTTTTGTATTTCCTCTATTTTATCTGTAGCATCGTTATCTCGGTGCGATATGTCCACCGTTATCGAATCGTCCTTCTTACCCGCGATCGTTATCTTATCGTTCGTTCCGTTCCGTCCTTGCTTCTTTCCAAAATTCCAGAAAGATTTCTCATCGTATCGAATCGACCGTAATTACGAGAACGCCACGAAACGTATCATTCTTTTGGTACAGCTAATTACATTTACAAACAACGACTCGATCATTGTCTTGCAGCCAGCGCAAACTCGAACCAACTTGCGTAACGAGCAAGCTCCTACGATAGTTTTTATCGGGCTTCTGGAGGGCGGATAAAATTCTCGATTACGCTGCTGCGTAAACAGTCGCTATCAGCGCGGCAGCAGTTATCGGTTACCGTTTGGCAAAATAGTTGCGCGTCCGCAAAACATCGTCGAATTCGCGAAGATAGCGCATCGAACGAACTCGCTTTTCCGATACATTTTTCGGCGCGTTGCTTTATTTCGAAGCGTCCGCTGCGTTACAAATCACGCGTAACGGACGAGAAGAGTGGTACAAAAGGTTTGTATCGACGACGAATTAGGCACGAGGCACGGCTTAATAGTCGGTGGTGGTGCGGACGTACACCTTTCCAGAAGGCATCGAAACTTTGTCGACACCGCCGGGGAACAGTTTCGCGAGTTCCTCGTCTTTCACGGTCGGCAGGATCATCACCTTCTCTCCTGGCTGTAATAGATCGGTCGACGATTGAGTAATTCCTACGTCGGACCACGACGAAGCTTAAAATGTTACGGGAGATCGCTTACCACCCAGTTGGCCGGAGTCGCAATCTGCGGGATCCTATCGACGAGCTGCAGCGAATCGATGACACGCAGGATTTCGCTGAGAGGCCATAAAAAAAGGGATCGATTAAACCGATGTCTCGCGAGCGTTCGAGATTCAACACGTTCTCGATCCGGTACCTCGAATCGCGATGCTTCCAAATGGATAGTTCTCGAATCGTCGAGTCTACGCGAATCCGATTTTTAAGATTTCCGCGACTCCGCTCTCGTTTGCGATTCTTTTACGGAACCAACGCGTTCGAAAAGAACGGAACCTAAAGCTAAAAGAGCCTAAAAGAGTCGCTAAATTCGTCGACCGCGGAAGTTACTTCGGACGTTCGGATCGCGAACGTGTCGAACCGAGGTCGGGTGCGTCGAATCGCGTGGAACTCACTCGACGTTGCGACCGGTGGAGGTCGGGTACTGCATCGACAAGCGTAGACGGTGATCGGGGCTGATGATGTAGAGCGAGCGGACGGTTATTGCCTTTTCTGGATCATCTTTGCCTTCTTCGTCGATCATGTCCAGCTTCACCGCCAGGCTGCGATCGTGGTCGGCGATGATTGGATAAGGGAACGAGCCGCAAATGTCTTGGCAATAAGATTTAATATCCTGTCGTAAGGAACAGGAAACACACGTTGAATCAATCTGGTGATTTATGTACACGGAGAGGTTTCTTTTGCCATAGAAACCGCTTCGCGCTACCTTTTTACTCGCGTCCCGACTGCTACGATCTCTCGATTCGCGCTACCGTTCGAAAATACGCTCGTCGATAAAACCTTATTTTATTCTCCTTTTGCGGCTCTTTCGACGGTCACGATAGTCAACGGTGCCGACGTTTTTAATTTACTTTTACCGCGACCCTTAGCACCGACTTCTGCATCGGCAGCAGCTAATAGTCGAAGCAAAAAACAGGAGCAAGCAACAGTTGCGTAGGAGATTACTCGTTATCTGTTTGCCGTTCGATACAGTCGACTGTGATGCAACGGTATTGCGATAGGACAGTTTCGTTTGGTGTATCGAGCCTAAAACGTTCGGGTTTTGTCAGCGATGCGATTTCTTCGGCCACTGCTCGATTCGATATCCCGCGCTAATCAACAAATTTCTTTCCGACAGTAAAACTTCGGTGACAGATTTTACGAGCCGACTTTCACAGAATACGTTTCTTTTCAAACGTTACGCGTCGAATGAAGAAGCTTCGGTTGCTTTCGAACGATCGAACGAGTTCGAGCGCGACGGCGCGTGTAGCTCTTCCGAAGGTCGCAAAATCTTCCCGCGGATACTCTCGTAAACAAGCGTAATTATTCCAGTCGCGGATCGCGCGTGCATGTATCGCAACTCATTGTATCGCAGACGGCGTAACGACGATGCTGGAACTCGTTAAATAATTGCAACATCTGCATCGAACACGCTCGAAGTCGAGTCGAATTTGAATAATATTTACTACGAAAAAATAATTACGATGTTAAACCATCGACTCGCGTATTACGGCTCGCATTTTACGACTCGATATATAAGAACGATTCGCACCTACGCATCGTTCCCAATCGGAGAACAAGTTTGCCGATTACGCCGGTATTTAATTTCGTACCCGCGCACACAAAACGATACTTCGGAAGCTGTTTCCGCGCTCGCTTCTCGGTCACCGAACATGTCTCCTTGCCACGAAGAGATAGAAATCCTTTCGAATCGACGATTCGTAAAACTCCTCGACGAATTCTGCGAAGCTATACGTTCGCAGGGATTTAGGTCTCGGTCGAAGCGATCGGTTTTTGTCGTTTTATGCTCCATTTCGAACGTATTCTATGAAATCGCTTTCTCTCCGCTTTTACCTCGTCGTCGGCATCGATGGGATAAGAATGCTGCTTATTCCGATACATAATTAACGCGAGTCTGCTTACAATTTGTTCCAAACGCGATCTCGACCGTCCGTTAAAATCCACTCGAAAACGAGCTTCGATACGACGAAACGCGCAAGAAATTTATCGCTACGAGAGATCGATTCGACGCGGATAAAAAGATAGACACAGGCAGCGAATATTCGGGTAAAATCGGCGTTAGCGAACGTACGTTAACCCAATCGACATGGTCCTTGAGCTTGTCGACGGAATGGGCCAGCAGCTTGGTGTTCCTGCGCTCGAAGTGCGGCTGATGAACGGCCAGGCGTCCCAGCTCGGTGGTGCAGACCGGGGTGAAGTCGGCGGGGTGCGAGAACAGAACCACCCACCTGGAAGGAGCCATTCGACGAGAAGAGAATCGAGAAATTGCTCGGCGATCGTCGCGGTTTATTTTCGATTTCACAGTTTCGGCGTCGAGCGTGATCGCGCGCGCCGTCCTTGCGCTCAAGTTCACCTCGAGCGTGTAAACGCGAGCGCGGTGTGCGTCGAGACGCAAAGTGGAAAGGACGCGACCGCGGTCGTCGATTTTCCACGGGTTCTCCTGTTTCAAAATCGCGGTTGCGTAACGACGCGATCGCGAACGCCGCGTCGCGCGGCTCGACGCGGAGCGGCGCCGCGCCTCCTGCTCGGCGGAAACCGGTCTCCCGGCTGTTAAGAAACGATGGACATTTTTGCGGATGTTTTACGGACGCTTGCTTCGATTGCCGACGTATTCGGTGCACGGTGAAAGCGGACACGATCGCGCGAACCGACAGCCGCTCGATGGCCCTTGATTGGCGGCGGCAATGGCCACCCACGCTCCGCGCGGCCCGCGGTCGGCTCGCGAAGATAATTCGGAGCGATTTTCTCGGCTCTGTCCGCGTTTGGAAAAGATTTCCTTTTTGGAATTTCCGACCAATCCGAGAAAACTTTATCGAGCACGTTCCATCGTCGTAGAAACGATGGCGGACAACAATTTCGTCCGTCTCCATTAACAGCGCGTTATCAAGTTATATACCTAAACTAGAACCGTTTATTCATTTACGGTGGATCTCGATGTACGTGTAAAGCGCGTTAAAGGCTAACCACGCAATTTGTGGGCAACGTTCGCCCGTGTTATCGCGCGACCCAGTCTTTCCAAAGACGTACCAGGGCGAACGTCTACGATCTACCGGATCCGTCGCTATTTTTTGTCCGAAATTCTACTCGAAACGCGACACCGTTGAACCGCCCCTTCCTTCCCTCTTGGCGGTAAAATTCTAAATACGATCGATGGAAATAGCCTGCAACTGCGACGTATTCGAGGCTCGCCGCGCTGGTGCACGCAGGATGCAAATGTTAGCCGACACCGCGCGCTGCCAACGTGCTTTCATAACAAGTTTGCATAATTCGCGGTTGCGCTCGGACACTTTGTAGCCAGCGGAAGTTGCCAGTGTCCCCGGTCGTTTCGCGTGCAACAAAACCGGATACCAAAAACGGTTGAACAGGGAGGGGATACACCGAATTCCGATGGTAGCTGGAAACTTACGAGTCGCCCTGCCACTGGTAGAAATCGATCGGACCTTGAGTGGTCTCCGCCTTGAAGTTCGGTAAGATCGAGTTCAGCCTCATGATGGACGCGGTGCGCGTGTTTCGATCAAGTATTCTGGCTCGGTGCGTGCGGAATAGCCCGGTGCTCGTTTCCTGCGACCACTTTAGACGATGGCGCGCGACAAACTGTTTCAACGGATCGTCGCGTTCCGCTGATATATATCCGCTGGCGAGCGTTATCCGCCGCCCGCGGCCGCCGGATAACGCTCTCTCCCCGACTCCTCGCTCCTCGCGCACGGCGATCTCGCTCGCTCCTTTTACACCGCTCGTTGTCGCCTACGGTTTACGTCGCTCGCGCACGTACTCGTCGCGATGCGCGGCGTGTCTACTGCGTAGCTCCTTCTGGCCGTTCGAATCAGAACCTCCGAGGTGCTGGACCTTCCAGAACGCTCGGAGACCGGAAGGTCAATTGATCGAGCGGCTATTTCGTTTCGCCTCGGTCTTCGCTCCAAACGGCCTACGTCTTCCCGCGAGATAGAACTCTTCTCTGCCTCCGTCGAAGGCGGCTTCTGGAAGCTGGACGGATTTCCGTCCTCCTGGCAGAAGGTTGCGCGCACCTTTCCTCGAAGAAGTTCTTTTTGCTGAAACGCTTCCAACCTTCGTCTCGTTTCTTCGCGATTCCCCCGCAGCGTTTGATCGATCGGTTGCCTGGAAGTTTCCAGAAGCTGGAGCGGTCTTCCTCTTAAGGAGTCCTCATCCTCCGCTGTCTTTTCTTTTGCCCGAAGCTTCCGAGGAGTTCGAAAGATCTCTCTAAAGCGTTGATCTCTCTCTCTCTCTCTCTCTCTCTCTTTTACGGACTGCTCGCGTTTCGCAGGAGTCGGAAGAGTATCGTGGGAGTCCCGGCATTTTTGAATTTCTGTAGATCGAGGGTCCGGGATATAGATCCAGCCGGTTCGATCGACGAGAACGAGTTTGGTTCGTCTCGTGCTCTCGGATCGCTTCGACAGCTATAGCTGGAAGAAATTCAACTGGTCGTTCAAGGCCACTTTCTCGACCGTGAATGACTCTCTACTTTCCCGCTGCGGCGCGGCACGGCGCGGCGGCTTCCTTGTCTGTTCAATGAGCCGAGCGAACGAGTAGCCACGGATTTGCGCGAGGGGCCGAGGAACTCGCGCATTGGGTAGCTAACTGGTAATAGCAGGGGAGCTACCCTTTGGTAACCTTGCGCCGGCAATTGATCCCGCCGTTATTAGCGCATCGTTCACCCGGCAATTTTACGCAGAAGCTATCTCGTGTCACCGGCTATCGACCGAAGCGAGCGCGAATACCAGTTTATTCGCTTTATCGATCAATTTTTTGTACGCGAATTTCGTGCGCGGAGAACGCGGGAACGTGCCGCTTCGTTTGTCCGTCGAGTGGCAGGATGTTCGATCGGACGCTAAGCCGCGTTGTATTTGCAATTTCTGATAAAGAATATCGTTCTCGTCTCTCTCGAACGGCTGCATTTTCCGATATCATTTTAACGCGCGAAGCGTTACCTTCTTCGACGGATAGCGGCATTAAATCGACCGACGATCCAACATCGACGGCGTGGTTCGCGTAGAATTAAAAATCCGAAGCGACGAGATTTTTTTCTTTTTTAAATATCGTCGAAGTCCGGTCGATTCGCTTTTTCCAAGTATCGCGTTCCCTACAATTTATCGGAATTTGGAAAACGATCTCGAAGGAGATCCCCGTCGCCTTCCCATTCTTTCGTTGTTTGTTCAACTATCGTCGGTTTCTATTTGATCGTCGAAACGCGAGATACTGCAGGATACAGCAGGATATCGAACGCGATAGCCCCGGACAAAATGCTACGACACGATCTTACGATAATTTTACACAACCTGATGCAACAACGGAACTAAACTCGCGAGAATCGAGGAGTAAACACCCCGATATCCCTTAAATGATGTAATTTCTGATCGTCGGATCGAATCTTATCAACGTCAACCTTCGAAAGTGTACTTCCGTTGGCTCTCGCCGGGCAGATAAATCGGCTGGATCTAATTGTAAGCCAGCTTATCGATACCACCGCTGATTTCCGCTCGGCTCGTCGGCGATAATACGATAATCCCCGATAAAGACGAGTCGGGTAAATCCGAACTGACATATCGGAAGCTAATACATAACTCCGGAATCACGTGAACAAATTATGCAAAATTCTGCCTCATCGAACGATCGGAACACGTTCGAGAAGCATCGTTGGATCGTTCTTCCGTACAAGGTGCCGAGATAGGTGTCATCGAAGGATTCCGTCCGTCTCGTTCTAACTATTTTCAGAGCGTCTCGTAATTTCAGCCACTGGCCGGTGGAAAAGCCGGTGGAAATACAGCCGATCCGCTCCATTATCCGCCGATAATAACGATCGCGTTCGAACGGAACACTCTCCGATCGGGTGGCGTCGGGTCCCGGTCCCGGTTCCGGTTCCGACGACTCTCTGCCCTGCCTCTCTCTCGACGGATATATCGGATCGTTTGTCTCGAACTGTCCGCCGCTTCCGTCGCTCGATTTCCGTGGCGCGGCGAGCAGCTCGCGGCATGGCAGCGTGCCGACCGGCCACGTAAGCCGCGTAGCCACGTATACGCGTCGTTGCTCGAGCGGATTCCTATCGGTGACACGCGAATCGATCTCCGCGCTCGACCTTTGCCACGAAACGGACGCATCTTGCTGGGAGGCGGTGGCGTATCCACCGGTCCCGACACACATATTTACGTATCCGGTATCGTTCGAGGCGATCGGTACCCTTCGGAGGAAGACCTCCACCCTTCGAGACCTTGTCACGGTCGCGAGAACGTCCCGGACGTCTGGACGCTTGGGCGCTCGGAGGCGACATCCGCTCGCCTAGATCAACTCGGACGTTTCGGTCGACGCGACAAGGAACGCTCGTCAAAATTCGGAGAAGCTTCGCGCTGAATTATTTAGCAATCGATGCGGAAACTCGTAAACGTATCGCAACCTTTGCCACTTCGATCCTTTCTCGGTCGAGAATTTTGAAAGCGTCGGGTTCGTTCGAAGTTCCAGCCTTCTCTCGATGGACTATCGCGTGGCCGACGAGAATCCCGATTCTATGAATATTAATGTCGCCGTCCTCGCGGTAGCTGGACCTTAAACGTCCGCTTTACAGCCATGGGAAAGACAGCGACGGAACGCGCAACGTATAATTAAGGGAGTCGCCCTTTCGTTTTCAGATCTATTCACGAACCGGTGATTTCTTTTCCCGAGCGATTCGATTCGTTATCCTTTGAATTCGCGACACCGGTTGTCCTCGGGGAACAAGAGTCTCGCGAACAGAAGCGGAGAAGCGTCCGAGCCCTCTGGCAACGAGATCGCACTCGAGTTCACGAATCGTCGTCCGTGGACCGTGAAAGACGACTGTCCCCTAGGACAATGAGACGTTCGTGTCTCTAACGCTCCCCTTTCACGGACTCGTGGCTCATCTTCCTTTTGAAAACCGGCCTTCGGCGTCTCTCGGGCTTTATTCGCCCGGTGGTCCTGCTCTTTTCGCGTCCCTCCGCTCCGCCCCTCGGCCCTTCTGGTCCAGATGCTGCACGAAATCACTGAAGTGTTCGGCCCGTCGAGAGCCGGGCCCCACCGTGGCGCCCAAACGAGTTTTAAATTGCACCGGGCCAGGCATTTGAATGCGAAAACACGCGAGGAGGCCGGGCCTAAACGCACCTGATCCGCCAGTTCTCTAAATTCTCGCTCCGCTCTCTCGCTCCGACGGAACGCTCTTTCTTTCGTTTCGTCGGCGTCGCCGTTTGCTCGCGTCGCGACTGCGACCCGCTAATCCGAAACTGGATCGCGCCGATTCTTCGTTCGAACGATGGCTACCGAACCTCTTTCGACGCTACGCCGTCTCTGCCGCCAGAGATGGCGATCCTGAATCCTCGGCTGCTGTCCTTGATCGAAACTAGACTGCGAGGCTTTGCGCAAAGTAAAAGCCGTTTGCACGGTACAGAGATCGTTCCTTTTTCCGACAGACCGATTTAAATTGTCCGCATCGTCGAACGCGTCGAGTTCGTACGACCGGTAAGAACCGTGTCATCTTTTCATCGAAAATCGGGCAACCCCGTTTGTCGAAGCTGGAACAAAGAACGATGCCCCAAAACCCTAAACTATCGTTGAATGAACGGCAACGGCGACCGCTCCTCTCTCGATGTAGTCCTTCGGTCGCTGGTTCTTTCACTCATCAATCACCTCCTTAACCGTTCATCCGAGCAAATGAACGGGCCGGTTGCATCGAGGATCACTTTCGCCGCGGTGCTCTCCGGGCACAGGATTTAAGAACTCTCCCTTCTATCTGCTTTCTCTCTCTTTGATCTCCGGTTGACGGGTCGGCGTTCGTTGTCTGGGCGTATCCGATCCGCGACGAGGAACGTTCCGAGGACATCCGCGTTTCACGCACCCGCCCCGGCCTAAAATTATCCCGAGGTTTGCTCCTCCTTCATCTAGGATCGTCCGCTCGGGGCACGTCCGCCCGAGTCGCGAATTTACGCGAAACGCAACCGGCGAAATCTCCCGGCTCGTCCTCGTCGATCCTGACAGCCGGTAAATCGAATGTTTTTTTCTCATCGGCCGGGTCCGATCCGATCGGTCGATTCGTTCGGGGCCGGGGGCGAGCTCTCGTTCGAGCGATATCGCGAACGAAAGAAGGGACGTTCTCGCGCGGACGATTTTGACGTCGGGAATCGATGGATTCTAATCGTCGTTACTCCGAAAGGAGAAGATCGTACGGCAACGCGCGGTTCGCCCCTGGAATCGCCGACGCGGATATCTCGGCGATCGAATCGAAGCGGACGAAACGGAGCAGCGCGAAAAGGGCCCAGAAGCGAGAAGCGAGCATGCGTGGGCAGCCGGCAGAAGGTCGCATCTCCCGAGCTCCCGGGCACTCGGGTACCCGGGCTCCCGGGTTGTCGCGCGTGTCTCCGCAGCGGACGTATGCAAATGGCGGCTCTTAGCGTCCTCGGCCAGGTGGACGGTTGTTTCCATTACTCGATATCGATACAAATGATTCTCTGCTCGACGAGTCACTTAACTCAACCGGCAAACGGTCCGCGGGATAACGCTAATTACGATTCAACGCACGCGGCCATTAGCAAACGATCTCTCTTGGCTCCGGCGAGTCGCGCTTCCGAGCGATGCCCGTGGCCGGTCCCGTGC